AAAGGCAGCTGCTGTTGCTGGTCTTGCAGCAGCGGCGGCCCGCATATATCAGCTGTTACCGGCGCTGCAGCAGCAGCAGCAAGCGCATCTGCTGTTGCAAGTACCGCTGCAGCAGAAGCAGTTGCTCTTCCTGGTTGTGCAGCAGCGGGGGAGCTGCTGCTGCTGGTGCTGCAGCAGCAACGGGCTAGCTGCTGCTGCTGTTGCTGCTGCTGCTGCAGCAGCGCACATACTAAGTGCTGCTTCTTCCTAGAGTCCACATGACGCCGCCTGCAACTGACCGCCGGTCCGTACCGTAAGTCGAAACTGCTGCTGCTGTTGTTGCTGCTGCTGTTGCTGCTGCTGCTGTTGCTGCTGCTGCTGCCGCTGCCATTGCTGCTGCTGCTGCACTTGTGTCTTGATCTTTCGCAGCAGCTGCTTGCTTTCCGCTGTGTCTCAGAGGGCCTCCGAGCAGCGACTCCCGGGGGGACTCTGTTGCTGGTGGGGGCGGGGGCCCCCCTGGGGGCCCCCCTGGGGGGCCCCATGGGGGGCCCCCCGGGGGCCCCCCCAGGCCCTCCACCGCCAGCAGCCGCCACATCAGCTCGGCCTTTGCTAGGGGCCCCCAGGGGGCCCCTGGGCTCAGCGAAAGCTGGACCCCTTGTGGGGGCCCCCAGTGGGGGGCCCCCGGGGAAGGGGGTACCCTGCGGTGGCGGGGGGCCCCTGGGGGTGCCCCCCACCACCTGGGAGGGGGCCCCCTGGGGGGCCCCCACGCGGGTATTGAGCGGGACGGAGGGTACTACGCAGAAACAGTTAACCACATGATTGACGAATGCACAGATGCAGCAGAAGGGGGGGGCCCCCGGGGCCCCTCTGAAACAGACCCTTTGGGGCTGCTGCAGGAGGACAGGGAGTTGCTGCTGCTGCGGGGCGCGCAGCCGGGGGGCCCCCTGGGGGCCCCTGGGGCCCCCGGGGCCCCGGGGGCCCCCGGGGCCCCCGGGGGCCTCGGGGGCTCTGGCGAGGGCAGTGCCCTCACGGGTTTCGGCCCGCTGCCCCAGG